ACTTATGATTGTTCATTCCTGGAATTTCCACTTCATCTTTTCAGGCCGAGGCGGACCGTAGACAACTGAAACCATGGGAAGCAGCACCGCAGACGAGGGGACTACTGTATTTTTGCTGCCCTAAAAATTCCCTGCGCTCTGCCCATTTTTCCCTCCCTGCCTTCCGTGTCCTGGCAGTCACTGATCCTCTTACTGTCTGCACAGTTTCGCCTCTTCCAGGATGTCATGTAGATAAACCCAAACGGCAGGCAGCCTTTGCAGCTTGGCTCCTTTTACTTAGGAAGGTGTATTTAAGACTCCTTCCTCCGGCCAAGATGGAGGCATAGGTGGAAACACTGTGCCTTCTCAAGCAACCAAGTTTAAAGACAACAAAGTTGTAGTATCAAAAACACAACCAAAACACAGAAAATTTAACTATACGAAAGTCCGACAACAATGAACCATTCAGCCAGACCGGTATGAGGGGCAGAGTTACTGGCTGGCGGAGCAGGGGTCGGGCAGGAAAAACCTGCCAGACTGACCCAGAAGTGTAGACGGCGGTTGGCAGATCCCAGGCGCAGAGTGGCAACGGGCAGACCCAGTGAGGGCGCAGGGCGGCTGGCTGGCTGTGGTCACACATTCACACTCAGATAAACCAGGCGAAGGAGCGAGCACAGGCCAGGGCCCCAGTGCTGAGAATTAAAGCCTAAAATCACCAACTGGAAAAACTTTTGGGGTCGAGGTGCCGGGAGAGGCTCCCAGACTCACAGAGAGTTTGTTGGAGAGACCCACAGGGTCCTGGAGGGTGCACAGGCCCACACACCCAGAAGCTGGCACCAGGGGGCCCCGGTTTGCTTGCAGGAAGCAGCAGAGGGGACCGAAATCTGAGAGAGAGCGTGGTACAAGCACCATTGCCCCTCTCTGACCCCACTCCCACATATAGCATCACGACCCAGCAACTGTGTTGCCCCACCCAGGTGAACACCTAAGGCTCCACCCCTCATGCTTAACAGGTGCAAACACACCAGAACATTATGGCTCAAGAAGAACAGCTCAGCCCTGGCTGGTGTAGCTCAGTGGATTGAGTGCGGGCCTGAGAACCAGAGGATCCAGGTTCGATTCCCAGTCAGGGCACATGCCTGGGTTGCAGGCCAGTTCCCAGCAGGGGATGCATGAGGGGCAACCACACACTGATATTTCTCTCCCTTTCTCCTTCCCTTCCCCTCTAAAGATAAATAAATAAAATCTCAAAAAAAAAAAAAAAAAAAAAAAGAACAGCTCAAAGCCCCAGAGCCAACACTTCTAAGTGACCAAGAGATAGCCAAACTTTCAGATGCGCAGTTCAAAACACTGGTGATCAGGATGCTCATAGAATCAACTGGTTGATTTTAGTCACAAATTAGAGGAACATATGAAGGCTAAACTAACTGAAATGAAGGGAAATGCACAGGAAACCAATAGTGATGGAAAGGAAATTGGGACTCAAATCAAGGGAGTGGACCAGAAGGAAGAAAAAAATGACCAAACAGAAAAGAATAAAGAAACAAGAATTCAAAAAAAAAAAATGAGGAGAGGCTTAGGAACATTCAGGACATCTTTAAACGTTCCAACATCCGAATTATAGGGGTACCAGAAGGGAAGAGGAACAGCCACCAGTGGGGAAACTTATTTGAACAAATAATAAAGGAGAACTTCCCCAATCTGGCAAAGTCAATAGACTTCCAGGAAATTCAGGAAGCTCAGAGAGTCCCAAAAAAGCTGGACCCAAGAAGGAACACACCAAGGCACATCATCATTACATTAGCCAAGATTCAAATGAGGGAGAGAACCCTAGAAGCAGCAAGAGATAAGGGGGCAGTCACTTACAAAGGAGTTCCCATCAGACTCTCAGTGGATTTCTCAAAAGAGACCTTACAGGCAAGAAGGGGCTGGAAAGAAGTATTCCAAGTCATGAAATCCAAAGACCTACAACCAAGATTGATCTATCCAGCAAAGCTTTCATTTAGAATGGAAGGGCAGATAAAGTGCTTCTCAGATAAGATCAAATTCAAGGAGTTCATGGTCACCAAGCTCTTATTATATGAAATGTTAAAGGGACTTATCTAAGAAAAAGAAGATAAAAAATATAAACAGTGAAAGTACTGCAAACTCACAGTTATTAACACCCACACCTAAAACAAAAGCAATCTAAGAGGACAGCTAGATCAGGAGCAGAACCATAGAAATGGAGATCACATGGAGGGTTAGCAACAGGGGAGTGGGAGGAGGAGAAGGGGGAAAAAGGTGCAGAAAATAAGTAGTATAGATGGTAGGGAGAAAATAGACGGGGGGAGGGCAAGAATAGTATGGGAAATGTAGAATCTAAAGAACTTGTGACACATGGACATAAACTGAAGGGGGGAAGAGGGGTGTGCAGGGGGGAAGGGAATGAAGGGGGGGAAGTGGTACAACTGTAATGGCATAATCAATAAAATATATTAAAAAGAAAAAAAGAACAACAACAACAACAAAAAGACTCCTTCCTGTCTTCTTAGAGTTCGATGGCTCATTTACTTTTAGTGCTGAGTGATACCCCACTGCCCGGGTGGCCCACAGTGCATTTATGCATTCACCTGCCGAATGACATCTCGGTTGCTTTCAAGTTTGGACAATTATGATAATGTTACTAGAATCACCCACGCGCAGGTTTGTATGTGAACTAAGTGTTCAGCTCCTTCGGGTGGATACCAAGGAGCACACTTGTTAGAGCGCACTTTCAGAGTATGTTGAGTTCCGTAGGAAATGGCCAAACTGTCTTCCGAAGGGGCGGTGCCCTTGGCACTGCCCCCAGCCGTGAGGGAGAGCTCCCGTGACTCCACACGGGTCAGCCGTTGTGTGGGCAGAGTTCTTGACCTTGGCCGTTCTAACAGTTATGTGGTGGTCTCTCCCTCTTTTTTAAGACGCTGTTCCCTGGTGGCTGGGATGTGGAGCATCTTTTTATAGGCTTATTGCCACCTGTGTATCTTCTTTGGTGAGGTGTCTGCTAAGGTCTTTGGCTCATTTTGTAACCCAAACTCAACTGTTATTGAGTTTTAAGGGTTCTTTGTGTATTGGGATAACAGTCCTTTAGCAGGTGTGTCTTTTGTAAACGTTTCCTCCTGGGCTGTGGCTTGTCTTCTCATTCTCTTACATTTCACCGAGCAAAAGTTTTTAATTCTAATCAAGTTTAGTTTATCAATTATTTCTTCCATGGACTATGCATGAAGGTTTTTTCTTATCTTGATTCCAGCCACCCCCCCCAAACTTTTCTTGTTAAAAAATAAGCAACAGTAAATACAGTACAGGACACTCTCTATCACATTATTTTAATGGCGTGGGGGTCAGCTGGAAGGGAAACAGTTCTCCACGGTATCTGACTTTAGAAGGATCACTGGAAGGTTCTACCTTGTTGAGGCAAACCAGCGCCAGCACTGGCTGAGCCTCCTCCACAGCCGTGCACTGTGCTAGGCACGGCCGGGGTGGCCCTGGCTCAGAGAGTCTGAGTTCTGCACGAAATCGGAGTGGGAGCAGGGCAGCATCGTTCCCTGGCAACAGGTACCGACAAGCTAGGGATCAGAAACAGAGCAAAACAAAATATTTATTTTCCATAAACTTAGCATTAAAAGATTTTATTTATTTATTTTTAGAGAGAGGGGAAGGGAGAGGGAAAGAAAGGCAGAGAAACATCAATGTGCGGTTGCCTCTCACACGCCCCTAATGGGCACCAGGCCCACAACCCAGGCATGTGGCCTGACTGGGAATCGAACCTGTGACCTTGGTTTGCAGGCTGGCACTCAATCCACTGAGCCACACCAACCAGGGCAAATTTAGCATTTTTTAAAAGAGTTGTATTCCCTTTCTTCTCTTTTTGTGGTACCATCACTATACCTATTACATCTATTAATGTTTGAACCCCAACAGTGCATTGTTGTAATTATTATTTTATCATCTGTTGTCATTTTCCTTTTTCAGTTGTATTTTTCCATTGACATCTAACCCCCTTACACCCCCGCCCTCTACAATCGCCATGCTGTAGTCTGTGTCCCTTAACATTTTGTGTACAAAAAACTCTAAAAATCACTTGTAATTCTGCACACGTGGAAGCCTTGAGTTTTATGGTTTAGTATTTTCTTCTTCTGAAGGTCACAGTGGACAGGTGGTGGGCATCGTAACCGTTTCTGCACCAGGGACCACCGCCGTTCTCGGTGTAACCTCAGTTCTGACTGCAGACTTGGCTGTGGGGAGCTTAGGAGATGAAGACAGGGCACTTCATCGTCCTCACTGTTGTAGACGATCGGTGGGTAAATACACACTCTCGGAGTTTGGAACCGAATTGATAAAAATTTTAATGGCCAAAGATTTTCCTGCGCAGGGACGAACTCCCCCAACTGTGACCGGAGTCACGTAGCTACTCAGAGCTACAAAATGGAAGTCGCGCCTGGCTTACAGACTACTGGGTATTTATATTTTCTAGCAAGCAAGCAAAGGCATACAGAAGCAGAGGCGGCGGTTAGCTATTGGCTTATTTAAAAACGGCGAGGGTCCCTGATTGGTGGGTGCTGCTGCTGGCGGGCACTTTCTGGCGGGCCAGGTTAGTTACCTTATTTGGCTAGAATTTTAAACCCAATTGTTCCCGAATGTTTGTTCATTACCCTGTTCCAGGAACTGCAGATTTAGGGTTGGGTAATGCCCTAGCTGTAATTTTCCTAGCTGGGTATAACACTCACCTGCTTCTCCCCAACCCACCTCTCTCCCAGAACTCCTGGGCTAGGGATGAGGAATCCAGGGGCCCCGAGGGCAGACTCAGTGAAGGCGACCACTCTCTTCCCAAGAGTTTGGACCAGGGCAGGAAGGGTCCTGAGAAAGTTCTTCCCTGATGCCGTGGGGATTGTTGTGGTCACGGAAGGGATAGGACCACCAGGTGGCAGTGTTGCACAACAGCTTGCAGCAGAGGACTCTGTCAGGTGGCACCCTAGGGGAGGTCCCTCCCAGCCAGAGACCTTTGGAGACAGGGGCATGGATGCACCACCCAGAAGGGGAAGAAGGCTTGGGAATTCTCAGGAATGGCGGACATCCGTGAGGGGGCGTACATGTCCAGGTGAGGTCCGTAGGTGAGAGACTCCAGGGTGGGGAGGCTCTGGGTCTGAGAGCCCCCAAGGGCCGCAGCAGTTAGGAGACTGGACGGTGAATTTTGTGTCGGCTTGACTGGGCCACGGGGTGCCCAGATGTTTGGTTAAAGTGATTCTGGGTGTGTGTAGGCAGGTTTTCTGGGTGAGACTAGCATTTGAACGGGTAGACTAGTAAAGGAGATTGTGCTTCCCAAGGTAGATGGGCCTCATGCAATCCACTGAGTCTGGGGAGGGGGAAGGTTAAGTAAGGGAGAATTTGCTTTTTCTGCCTGATTGTCTTCAAGCTGGGAACTGGTCTTCTCCTGCCTTTGAACTTGAACTAAAACTGGAACTTACACCATCAGCTCTCCCTGGGCTCCAGCTTGCCGACCGTAACCTTGGGACTTGTCAGCCTCCACAGCTGCACAAACCAATTTCTTAAAACACGCAAATCCATCTGTCATCTCCTATTTGTTCTATTTCTCTGAAGAACCTTGACTAATAGCAACAGGGAGTGCTTATCTGTGGTTAACAAACATGGGGTGCCGTTTCATCGGCTGTATCAAGTAGATAGGCTCTAAACGGCTAAAAAGTATCTTTATTTGTACTATATGTAAAGCAACTGAATGTGTGAGAATTTGAGCTGGTGCCGGTGGGCTTTGAGCGAGCAGTCCAAGCCTGGCAGGAAGAGAAATACTATGCGGGGACCGTCTTAGGCCTACACACGGGATCCAGCTCGGGCCTGTTTTTACGACCACTATGGAGGGCAAGAAGGAAGGTCTCGGACGAGTACACGTCTCACTAGTTCCCAGCACTTTCCTTCACCCTGGAGCGTTTTCTGTTCAGGGATGGCAGCGAGCTGGGGGTCTCGTGTTTCATGTGAACTCTCTATCACCCTTGCATGTCCATAGCACACCAGCCTGGAGAGGGAAGGAGGCAAGGCCTCAGGTCACCATAGCAACAGCAACAAAAATAGTTGCATCTCCTCAGCCACGTCCACGTCCTTGCTTTTCCCTGGCAGAGGCCCAGGCGGTTCCACGTGCCCCACTTGGCTGGCAGCCGCTCATTTGCATCCCCTGCAGCCACCGGTGTGTTCGCCTAATCAAGTTTGTCTTTTTTCTAATTAAAAGATATTAAATGCTTATTATAGAGGATCTGGGAAGTAGAAAAATAGAAAGAGAGAATTGAAAGTGACCCATATGAGAGATAACTACATTTTCACATACTTCCTCTTAGTCTTTTTTATGACATATTTATAAGTAATACCTAACGTCATTATGGTTTTCCTGTGTCATTAAATAGGTTTCAGAAGGATGGGTTGTTTTTTGTTGTTGTTGTTTTGTGTTTTTTGCACAAGCAGAATACAGGAAATCTTGACCAAAGATCTGTCTGTCTGGGCTGCCTAACTCTGGAGCAGCCCATGAGGCCTGGCTAGGTCTTTGGTCCCATGGAAATTCTTTTCTTCAGGCATAAAAATGTCAAATATGGTCATAAAAACAGTGACCTAGCCTATGCTCACAAATGCATGCATTTTAAAATGATTACACTTAGAAGCATAATTTTTAATGCCAGCATAAAATTGCACTCTGTGGTTTTAGCAGTTGTTAGATATTGAGATTGGTGTCTGACTGGCCCATTAAGAATGAACGTTCAGTCGGTGGGGGCAGCACTGGCTGTCCCCAGCCTCCGGCCCCGTGTTTGTCCTAATGGGTTGGCAGGGCTCTCGCCCCCATCAGTGTTCATTCTTTCTGGCATCGAAGAAGAAGCAAGTGCTTTCTCGGTTTCTTTCTGCATCTCTGATCTTAACATTTCATCAGTCTCATTCTTGCAGGAGTGCACAGGACCCCTTCTGAGGGACCCCGCAGCCGCCACCATCTAACCCTCTGAGCTGTCTGGGAGGCGAGAAAAGAAGCACTGCGCAGGCCGGAGTTCGCAGGGCTGCAGCCCGGTGCTGCCTGGGCAAGAACAGTGGGGGTGTGGGGCTCGTGCCGTTCGCTCCAAGGGTGCTGTGTATCTCTGGAAGTTATTCCTGACGTGGAAGGCCTCTTCTCTGTCCTGGAAGCCCAGGCTGTTCAATCAAGTGAGTGTCTTTGCAGAGAAGCACCTGAACGTGGAGGAGAAAGGACACTGAGCCCAGCCATGCTTCCAGCTGATCCATGACTACACGGTTCCAGGTGGCTCCTAAGGAGGGGTTCAAGGACTCCAGCCCCCACCATTTAGGGGGCAAGTGGCTGCTTTTCTTCCTAAGACAGGTCATATGCATCTTCTCCTGCAACTTCCAGCCCCATTTCTTCAGCTACGACCTGACTCAGCACCACCCACAGCCCCTCAGTGCTCAGTTGATTAGAAATGACAAGGGTCTGCGTGGCCAGCCCATGAGGGCTCGTCCTGATTGCTGTCTCCAGGTTGGGCCACACTGGAAGCTACTGCTGCTGTCACATCTGATGCTCCAAATAGGACAACAGGAACGGGGATTTCCATCTGTGAAATATACTGAACAGCAACCAGAAAACACACCAAACTTTCCCCAGGTTGGAAACTAGAAAAAAGATCATCGTGAATTTTAAAGAACTTTTTGGCAAAATGAAAATACATGCTTGTGTGAGTTTGGGTTGGAGAGAGGGCAAAGCGACCCACCGCTTGGTCGGACACCAAAGACTCTGGTTTCACTGGGCTGGGAGGGCACAGCCAGTCCCCAGTGCCCTTCCCCCAGGGTCTCATGAGGACACTATCGAGTCTGTGTCATAGCACATCAGCACTCAAATGGCACCTCTTTTTCTGGTGCGCTGTCCCTTTTCCCTCCGGGGGCTTACCTTAAAGGAACCTTACCTCTGGGTCTCAGGCCCGCCCACTCAGCACCTGGCCAGCATGGTTCCCACTGTGGCCAGCTCAGGTGCTCAGTGCCTGGCCCATCTGCATTGGTTTTAAAAGGCCACCAAGAAGCTTTCTTCTGCCAAGTGACCCACACCAGCCCTCTTCCTGCGTCCCCACCTGGACAGGCCCTGGGGCAGCTGGAGCACGTCCAGGCTGTAGGGCAGGGGCTGGGGCTAACCTGGAGAAAGCCACAGGGGCTCAGCGGACCCCAGAGAGAGGTGACCCACCAAGCTGGTGATGTGAAGGGGCCCAGGGAGGGCTGGAATCCAGGAATCAGGGAGTAAGACAGAGGAGCCCCAGACTTAAAGACAGTTGAGGGGCTGGTGGTAGAGAAAGGGAGAATGGAGAAGTGAGCAGGGACGGTTCCTGGGCAGTTCGGTTTCTTTCTTGGGGGACACTGCATTTATCTGAGGGGCAATGCAACATGCCGATGGGAAGCCCAGTGCTGGAGCCTCTGCCTGCGTCTGTTTTCTGGCTGTACTGGCACACGAGCTCGTCACTCCAAACCTCGGCCTCTGAGACTGTTTTCTTATCTGTACAGCAGGCACAATCCGAACCGTGTTCGCCTCTTGTGCGGTTGTGAGGAGTAAATATTGCTACATTTGAAACGTGGCCCACGGTAAGCACTGCGTAGTAGCATCGTTGTTACTTCGTCACAGCGGCCGGTGAGGGGAGGTGGTTAGGAGGTGGAACCGGCTTGGACTGGCCCCAGACTGGCCCTCGCCGGCCACCATCCATCAGCTCCAGCTCAGGCTCAGCTCTCCCCGGGTCTTCCCACTCGCTCACCCTGGGGGGCTCACAGGGCAGCATCTATACGTTTCCCACTATGTGGGAGAAGCAGAGGCTCCGAGAGGGGAGCTTGCTCTGGGTGACACAGCAGGACGTGACATTGTACTTACTTTCTCTCCTCCATCTGCAGCCCCCTTCCCCCACTGCCCTTGGCTTTTGTGGATCTGCGGATGTCCCTAAGAGCGTGATCGCTGGGATAGGAACAAAGGCCACGTAGGAAGTGAGTGCTATTTTCCGAGGGCCTGCCCAGCGATGGGCTCCTCACGGCTTTGCTCCACCCCACCGTGAAGCTGCTTCCAGAGCCGCAGGGCCCCTGTGGGGTCAGTGCGCAGCTGTGTTCTGACCTCAGGAAGCCACCACTGGCTTTGGAAGTTCCAGGTGCTCCTGGACCATACGTGGCTGAGAAATCACATGACGAAGGCAGGAAGGGAGCAGACCTCAGCTGAGCTACCGCCACTGGGCCCAGCAGAGTGCCCAGCATGCACCTGGGCCCGAAGCTTCACTCCACAGACAGCCCACAAGTCTGTCTTTTTATATGAAAAGACCCGCAATAATTCACGTGTAAGGAGAGAGAGAGGGAGAGAGAGAGAGCTCTCTTTTTTTCTTTCCACACAGGGTCGCATTTGTATGCTGCTGTTCTGGGTTGCGGGAGTGATTCAAAGGCCCAAGCGTGCAAAACCAGTCGGAACTGTTTTAAAGGGACAGCCAGGGAGCCGTTTCCCTTCCAAACACGTTTGATTCCATGGCTGGATTTTTTTAAATGTTTTTGTTTATTTTCACTAATTATCTAACTTTGATTTTAATCCTTTGCCACTGGAGAAATATTCCTAAACAGATTAAAAGAACAGAAAAATAACATCAGCCAAAAACATTACTCACATAATGTGCTCTCGTGACAAGGGTCCTGGGTGGAGGGTGAGGAGCCGCGCTTGGCTCCTGCCCCTGCCTCAGGGGAGTGGCTTTGGCAGCTGCTTGCCTCTGTGAAGCTGTTTCCTCCTCTGTCAGATGAAGTAGGTGCGACTCTCTGGTGGGCAGTTATTCTGGGGACATTCACTTGCTGTCTCCTTTTTCTTCTGGTCGTGGGACCCTGGGTTTCCTTTGGAGAACCTCCCTCCTCCACCATCATGCATTTCAGATGGGGCTCCACCATGAGCTTGGATTGGGGGAATCCCCTCTTCTGGCTGTGGGAGTGGGCAAGGATGCTTCTCACAGCACGAAGGGACCCCGCAATCACAGGGTTTATACCTTGGAGTGAAAGTGGCTAGCAGGAAATGAGTTCTTACTCTCGGTATTAGTTAGTTATCGCTGCATAACAAACGACCCCATCCCCTGCCCTAATTCAGCAGCTTACAAGAGCACACATTTATAGCCTCAGAGTTTCTGTGGGTTGGGAGGGTGGACAGGGCTCATCCGGGTTCCTGGCTGCAGCAGCTCCCCAGGTGCTGGTCGAGGAGCTGGCTACAGGTCCCGGGCTACAGGATCATCAGTTCCCCAGCTTGCCCCAGTCACTGGCAGAATTCCTGTACTTCTTGCAGGGCCAAGCCTTCAGGTTCTTGCCAGAGCCTGCTCCAGAGAGCTGGAGGTCACCCACAGTCTTCTGCCACATGGTCTTCTTACACATGGCCGTTTACTTCACGGCCGCTAGTGCATGGCCAGTGAGGGAGAGTGGGGCCTGTCAGCTTTGGACCTGGAAACCTAAGTGAGCAGTGACAGCCCAAGTAACTGCTCACATAACCATTGGTTACAAGCGAAACATGGGTCTCACCCTTGCAGACACTGTGCCGAGGTCTCAGCTCATGATTTTTTAGTAATAAGCCTGTGTCGAGGTCCCAGGTTGACTGGCTTTCCACAGGGTTCTGCCCAGTGGGAAGCAGCCTTTGATTCCGGGGCCTTTGCTCCTGTTGGCTCTCGTGTTTACTGGATGGACATCCTCTCAGGCCAAGCTGCTAGCTCGGGACGGGCAGCCGGCTGGCAGGAGTGGGTGACAGACCCCTGCGTGTTTGTCGCTAACCTTTGGAGGGATTATCCCATCCGTGGGATACTCCCCATTAGAATGCCTTGTCAGCAGGAGCCCCTGGCTCCCGGGACATGAGATGGATGTGCACACACCAGGTAAGCGTGGCACCCGTCAGCCTGAAGGTCTGCTCTGTGAGTCCCCGCGCTGGCCTGCCCTCCGAAAGCTCTGCGCATCTGCAGGCTCTGCTCTGAGAGGACTTCCAACATCTGCTCTTATCTCGGTCGCTGCTTAGTCAGCGCTGGGAGGAGGAGGAGCAGATGGAAGGCTGCTTGCAACCATCGAGAGAAACCAAAGCAGGCACGGCCTGCTTCACAGAGCACTGAGGGGCCATCTTACATCTGGAAGGAATAAACCCCCTCCAATAAGGACGACTGGGGGGTTGAAGGGGGAATGGTCCTTTTTCAGTCGGGAAGATAATAACAAAAGCAAGAGGGTTACTTTTCAGCAGTTTTAGTAAATTTTCCCTAATTCTCTCAAATGGGTCTTTTGGCTTTCAAAAACTAACATTTTAAAATAGTTTAATATTGCTCATTTGTGAGGAGAGTACAGGGAGCTTCCATGTGCCATGATGTCCTAGCAATCCGGCCAGCGCGCGGTAGCCAGCTCCACACCCTCCCTCGGACGGCGCACCCCGTGCAGAGGAGGAGAGCGCCTTCCCGCTTTCCTTTTTAGTGTATAACTGGGGCGGTTTTCAGAGCAGAGGGTTGGGAGTGATGCTGGAAGAGGGAGGGAGGGGGGAGTCGGTTCCGTGAAATGTAATGGTTAATGCTAAGGGTTCATGTCAGCCTCCTTCTCTGCTGATCTTTACAGAAACTGCTGGCAGGTGTCCCGGGGACGGCCTGGGGCTGGGGACACCGGCCGTCCTTCTTCCCACAGGACAGCCCTTCCCCCTGCCCAGGGGAGGGGCTGCGGGAGGGTTGGCACATTTTCGCATGTTGGGCTTGGCTCAGGAGCTGGTTTAGAGGGTGAGGTGCAAGTGGTGGAGAAAATTTTGCAGCGTTTCTGCCATTTGTATCCTCCACGCAGGCCTGGAATGTTCTCTGCTGCAGTCTGTGTGGCAGCTGTCCTAAGTCTGTTTGAGCAAGAGCTGGACTGTGCTGTGCTGACCTGTGGGAAGAGAACGTGGCTTGTCCTTGTCCTTGTCCTGGAAAGGAAGAGGGAAATGCAGGCTCCCTAGCAGGGAATGGACCTTGGGGCCATTTTAATTTATTTATTATTTATTTATTTCAGAGAGAGGAAGAGGGTAGAGAGAGAGATCAATTTGCTATTTCACTTATTTTATGCATTCATTCGTTGCTTCTTATATGTGCCCTGACTACGGATCGAACCCACAACCTTGGTGTATCAGAACGACACTCTGACCAACTGAACTACCCTTAAGCTTATCATCACATCTTTCACACCTTGAGTTCCTCTACTGTAATCAAAACAACATGGCATTGGAATATAGGTAGACAAATACATCAACGGAACAGAACAGAGTCCAGAAGTAAACCCATGCCCACAGGGACAGCTGATGTTTACCAAAGGCACAAAGACAAAGAGACGGAGAGAAAATAGTCTTTCCCACAAGTGGTTCTGGAAAAACTGTGTATCCACATGCCTGAAAATGAACTTGTATTTACAACTTGCACTGTATATAAAAATTATCTCTAATTAGACCTAAACCTAAATGTAAAACCTAAAACTATAAAACTTGCAGAAGAAAGCATAGCAGAAAATCTGTTACTTTGGTTTAGGCAACGATTTCTTATACAATAACACAGTCCATAAAACAACAGACTGATAAATTACAATGCATCAAAATGAGAAAACTCTGCGTTTCGAAAGGTGCCGTGGGGAGAATGAAAAGCAAAGCTGTAGACAGGTAGCAGATCCTCGGAAAGTGCGTCTGAAAAGAGTCGGTATCCAGAACTCGCAGGCCCAACACAGACGACACCCCTTCTTATCACAAAGCCTTTCCTTACACAGTCATAGCACATCATTCTGTAACAGCAATATCACACTCAAGCACACCGTACGTATGACATTGTAGGTCACAGGTGGCAAACACAAGGCCCACGGGCCGAACTTGGCCCTCCTCCTCCTTTTCTGCCTGTCACCTTGTTTCTACCCGGTGGCAGCGCCGAGCTCTCGTTTAACTGTTCAGGAGTAGTTACATTTACACAGTCCTAAAATTACTTTTGGCTCTTTGAAGACAACCAGGAGGCTGATGTGGCCCCCTGTGAAAATGAGTTCGACACTCCTATTTTAGGTGAAGTATGCACATTGCTGTCCATATCCTGTGAGATATTCACGTACCCTACCAACCACACTCAAGCAGGCATTTCTTCTGCCGGATCCTGTATAAAGAACTCTCAAAACTCAGCAATGAACAAATGACTCAATTTTAAAACAGGCAAAAATTAGGTAGCTAGGTAGACAAGATATAAGGATGGAAACTAAGCATGTTCTGAAATGATGCTCAGCACCGTATGACATTAAGGCAATGCAAATTGAAACCACAATGAGGCAACACTGCTCACCCGTCACAGTGGTTGAGATGTCCAACCAGCCATGCCCAGCGAGGGTGTGAAGAGGTGGAGCTCTCGGACTCTGCTGGGGGAAATGCAGACCGGAGAGCCTGTTTTCTGAAAATGGCTTAGTGGTATCTTAAAAAATCAGAAGGACACCTACCAGCTGATCCACCCAGTCCACTCCTAGGTATTTGCCTAGAAAAAAAAGAAGACATGTATTCAAAGACACATATGGAAACGTTCCGGGATGCCAGCCCAACTCTCCATCAGCAGGTGAGCCATAAACAGGCCTTGGTACCCCAGCATTTCACTCAGCAATAAAAGAGTAAAGTATTGGCTCATACAACGACATCAATGAATCTCAAAGTGATTATAGTGAGTGAAAGAATCCAGACAAAGAGGAACACATACTATGTGGTTGCACGTACAGTAAAGTCTAGGAAATGCCAGCTTACGCGTAGTGCCAGCAAGCAGGGCGGCGGTGGGTGGCGGGGAGTGGGGAGGGAGAGATCACCAAGGAGAGGCATGGAGACTTCGGGAGGGCACATCGGTCCCTCTTGCCTGTGCTCATGGTGACACCAGTGCATGTGTATCTCGGAACGTACCAAGTCGTCCACTCTAAATGGACAGTTTGTTGTGTGTCGATCTGCAGTTTATTGCATGCCAGTGATACCTAAATCAAGCTTTTAAATGTCTTGAACATTCCTCTAACTGAGCCACTGCCAAGAGCTTTTCAGAAAAGCTCTCTTTATCAAAATCAGAGATAAGGCCGTGCCAGCAAGGCACACTAGAAGGAGTTGTGCATACCAAATGGACCACGTGAGCTTTCTGCAATTGGTGGAGTGAGGGGAGGGGACGGGCAGGCTGGTCACACATCTGGGAGCTCCACTGCCCCCTGAGCCCTGTGCCCTCGCCCTCAGGGGGGCAGCTCTGGGAGGTTGGCCTCCACGGTCAAGGCTTCATGGAGTGGTGGAAGTGCCCCGGGGGTTCACATGGATAGCCCTGGATTTGCGTTCTGGACCTGCCACACAGCGCCCTTTGCAGCCCTTGACCCCTTTGATCATAGGTGTCCTCAGGTCACATGCACAGACTGGGGACCCCTGGCAGACTGTGGGGGAGGGTTGGTGAGTTCATGTGAAAGAGGACCAGGGGCTACAGCAGGTGCACCATGTGTTGAGTTCTTCCTGTCCCTTACTCAACTGGGTGTGAAGCTCAGCCTACTGTTGGGAACCACCGTGCCTGGTTTCAGGAGCTGTAATCACACCCCCCCCCCCATGGCTAAGGATGAATGAGTTACCTTGAGACCCTAAGCCACTAAGGAGACAAAGCTTATCTCCCTGGAAGGGGCATCCCCTCTGCCCCCTTTACTTCACCCTGCTTGGCCCCAAGCAGATGACTGGTTAGCCAATGATGGGTAAGATTCCTCAAGAGAGGGACAACCTAAGACAGGCATGGTCACGAAGGGGCCCTCAGGGAAGAACTTGGGGAGAATATAGAAAAAGGGAGTGATAGACTCTCACTCCTTGGCTTTGACAAAGCCTGGGTCCACATTCTGCCTGAAAGAATTCTCCTAATCTCTTGGCTGCCTTACTTCCCTGGCCTGACTTAAGCCTAAAACAATGATGGTGGTGTAGCCCTGTGCTGGAAAGGCCAGGTTCCCCTGGGTGATCAGACCTAAGAAACAATGCATAAAATTCTGTGAAATCTGCTTTGCTGAGAATGCCCTCAATTTTCTGATAAGGGTCCAAGCAGGAAATGAGTTTGTTTCCCAAAGGTGTTTTTTTTTTTTAAGATTTTATTTATTTATCTTTAGAGGGAGGAGGAGAGAGGGAGAGAAACATCAATGTATGGTTGCCTCTTATGCATCCCCTGCTGGGAACTGGCCTGAAACCCCGGCATGTGCTCTGACTAGTAATTGAACCACAATCCTCTGGTTCATAGGCTCGCACTCAATCCACTGAGCTACACCAGCCAGGGTTGTTTCCCAAAGTTTAATAGCCCTTTAGCTAACTGACCCTGACTCAGAATAAGCCCTCAGAGTTCTTTGAATGTTATCTATTGCTTGATCCTTACTGCCTGACAATGATTGTTGATGTATGCACCATGTATTCCTATGCAAATGAACCCAATAAAAGCCCATTGAGGAAAAGGCTCTTGGCTCTTCTCCTTTGAGAGATCAGCCACCTTTCCTCCCCAAGAAGATCATGTCTTGGTAGACTTATTCTCATCTGTGGCAGCCAGGGGGGCCCTGCGGGTGGAGCCCCTTCACAGCCTACCAAGTTGGATGTGCAAGAGATTGGACTTTTTCTTCACTGTTCTGGTGCTGGATTTAATTTTTACTTTGAGCTGTCAATCCATTAAAGAGGAGGAATCAGCCCACTGGGTTGGAGCCTTTCCTCAGAGTAACTTCCAGAGCTACAGAGGGTTTATGAGGGCCGTGGCAGAAGCAGGGGGCTGTGCATCACCCTAGACTGCCCAAATGGCTTGTCTGGCCATTGGGGTTGCAGTGGTGCAACCCCAGCCCACTGCAGGCCTAGCTCCCCCTGCTTCCTCCATACCCCATCAGGGTGGCAGTTGGCACATAGGGAAGGGGCGTGGGTCTGGAGATGGCGTGGCTGTGAAGACCTGCTCCACCATTGCTGAGTGAGAACAAACTTCATCTCATGCATGAAAAGCACAGGAATCCAAATAATTCAACTCCTTGGGTGGTTGTGAAAATCAAGTGAGTCAGAACTGAAAATAGAGCCAGGAACTTGGTGAGTCCTCAACAAAGGATATGTATGGTGTCCTGCTAGAATGACGGGCCCTGCCTGTCCTCCCGCTGGGCACTCGCTGCCCCCAGGCTCTTGGAGGCAGGAAAGGTCGCCCTTGCTCCTTCCAATCTTATCCCCCCCAAATGACCTGGGTATTCCAAAGAACCAGGTGGACCAGGCCCGGGCCCCATCACACTCTCCTCCCTGAAGCCTCCACTCTCCAGAGACACCCCGCCTGGGAATCCATGTCCAGCCTTGGGGAGAAAGTGTGTGGGCAGAGAACCTTGCTGCTCCTCCTCATGCATTCCTCCAAATTTTCCTCCAAAAAAATCATTCAAAGATGCCTCCACTGGACCTCGAATCTGACACCGAGGACTGACTTCCTGCAGAGCACCAGTGATGAGCCACATGTGTAGGTGCCCCTGACTGAATGTGGGGGGCTCAGGGGTACAGTGACATGCAGGGGGCACCCTTTGTTCATGTCTGCAAGTGGTAGCTTCCACCTGGTTCTCTGGGGTCTGCGAGGAGGCGCCTGCTGTCAAGCGGACAGTGCCTGGAGAAGCCGCACTGGTCCCTGGTCTCCACGCAGGAGGCCAGACCTGCTGGGTCTGCAGCTTCCACAAGCCTGGGCTTGGAGAGGGCACATCCGGTCACCTAATGATGACGTCCTTTGCAAAGGTCAGGGCTCAGCAGGAAGGGTTGCGGATGACTCAGGAGTGGAGACCTGTTCCAACTCCACTTTCTTCTGGAAACACGTAACCTTGTTGTAATGCAGCTTAATGGGTGGGCTAATCACGTTTTGGAAGAGAATTTGAAGCTGGAAAATAGTTATTAAAGAGCGATGCCATCCTGCCCCCTTGTGGTAATATCCCTTGGTGAGCTCTTTTGTTGCAGTGGCCTGTCAGGGTGTGCGGGCTTTTCTGGAAAAGGATGGTGTTTGATCCTGCACAGTGTCGTGTTACCCGCCATCACTCTCGTTGTGGCAAAGAGATCATTTGAGTGTAAAATACATCATTAAGGTCAATCATTGAGGTGTATTATGCTCAAAATGTTCATGCAACAAACCTTGTCTCCCTCTATGCAAGGAGCTGGGCTGGGCTGGGGGTGGGCGGAATATATGTGTGGTCTCTGTCCTCAGTGAGCTGAAAACATGCCCAAGGACAAGGAGATTTTACAAACATACCCACATTACAAGTCCAAGGAAGTGTGTGTCTCAGGAGGAGCTCTGGGTGAGACAGGGTGAGGAGCCGATGATGGCATGGGGACCTGGGAAGGTCCCCAGTTCTCCATACTGGGAGGGAGGGGGCCTCCGAGCCCAGGGCACCAACCATGAGAGGGACACACGAGGCCAGTGGAGGCCCCTGGATCGGCAGAGGCGAGCAGTGCTCTGCCAACCTTGCTTGACGATGCACCACTGAACATCCACCAACGAAAACAAAAGTCAGCATGCATTTCACTAAAAGCGCTTTCTTTGTGAGGCATAAGCATTTATGGATTTAGCATGTACATTATAAGCTGCATGTTAAGCAGAACTGACTAAAATAATGAGTAGCCCCAGAACTTTTTGCTTCCAATCGGCTTGTCAGGCCCAGTTGGGATGTCGCTGGTGCGGGCATGGACAGGCAGGAAGCTGGGAAGAGGGGACGAGAGAGCTTGGAGTCATTAAGACCATGTAGGCAAGATGTACCATGGACCTACGTAAGGTGGAAACAGCGGGACTGCAAGGAAAGGTGTGTGCTTGTGTGCTTTTAGAGACAACTCAAGACTTGCTGGGAGTTGAGGCAGAAAGAACCATTAGAGGTAATTCTGAGTCATCTGCTGGGAAGATCACAAATCACTGCCTGAAAGAACATGGAAGAAAAGGCAGGTGTTCGAGCATTGTGAGCCTGGGTTGTATATGCTGAGCAACAGTGAGGTGTCCGTTTTGCTTCCACGGGACTCTGGAAATCTCCGAAGGCCAGAGTGGAGTAGAGTCATCTGACTCTGAGATGGCGGCCAAGTGTGGGAGGGAGGACGTGGCCCAGGGAAAGGAAAATAGAGCCAAGGACAGACTCCCAGGGGCACGCAGGTTCCCTGGGAAACAGGCTGAGCCGGAGAGTTGCAGCGGGTGCGCTGGGGCGTGTCTCGGATCCAGGCCTGGAAGGCACGAGAGAGCAGGGCTGAGCGGAGGGACAGGCTGAACACAGATGTGGTTTCAGTCGGGCCCCTGGGAGCGCTGAATTGCGGTGGTCCTCTTGGAGATGTCGGTGGGTGCTGGACTGGTCCCTCCCGGCTGGTGGGCATGACTAGGTGGCTCTCCCAGCTCCTCACTCTGCGATGTCAGCTTGATCTCGCAATTGGCCACCAGTGGTGGTAGTTGGAAATCTCCACTACAAACCAGGATTTTTTTTTTCCTTTCTGGAGAACTAGTTGTTAAATATTGACCAGAGTACATACCTGTGTCCTAATGAGGTAACGGGGCGGAGCTTTTGCTGCTGCGGGGACTAATTGTTGGGTGCAGACTGAATGGGGGTGTTAGTGCGGGTGGCGGCCCCCTTCAGGTGAGCTGCACGGCTGGAAGAGGGTGCAGCTGGGGGCTTTTGGGGGCAGCACCGCACAAACTGGGGAGATCAGTGCCTGGCCCGGGAGGATTATCACCTTTTGTGCAATCGCTGCGTGCAAGCGAGTTCACCCGGTCTGGACACCGCTCCTCCAGGGGCTGGTTACTCTCTTCTCCCGGAGAAACTTATGAGAGTAAGAGTGACCTCCCCAGCTGTAGTTAGTCCTGAAGCCACATGCTAGTCGTCACCTCCCTCCTTTTCTATCCATTTGGGAGTCCCCTGTCCCTCAGCCAGCACCTCTGTTGGTAGGCAGCTTGCCTGGTAGGGTGACCAGACACTCCTCTCCAGGGTTGGACCTGGTCACCGTGTCCTTCTCAGGCTGTGGCTGTTGCACGATGTCTAGTCACCATCAGAACTGAGTGGGGAAGACAAAGAGACACCCTGTGGGCCACCAGATCTAGTTTTCCCTTCCCCCACCATGGAAAGGCAGACCCTCCTGAAGGTCAGGGTCAGTCGTGCCTGCTGGTATGGCGAGTCCTTCCCTTGTTAGCTCATATCTTGACACGAGGATACCTGGTGGGAGCTTCCTTCTCAGGGGACCAGGGCCCCTCACCCCACAGGTCCAGCCAGGGTCCTTCTGGCTGCAAGAGGAGCCTGGTTTCCCGGTTGGTGGGAGCTGAACCACCAGGCTGTGGTCTGCACTCAGAACTGGGACACGGCTGTGCCCTGTGTAAAGGACGCCTCTGCCCCTGAATGTTACAGTGGTGGCAGAGGTCCTCCTGTCTCTCAAACAAGAGCAGGAGCAGGAGAAGTGTGACTTCTTCTGCCCCAACAGGCCTGGGAAGGAGTGACACCCCCCGACTCCAACTAGTGCCGCCTGCTTGTCGACATTAGGGCCAGAGCTCGGGGCCCCGCCTGCTGTGGCGAGCCTCCTCTTCCGTTAGTGAGGAAAGCATATTCTCCAAAGTGAACTATGTCACAAGCAATGTGGCAGCTTCCTCGAAGGCCTCCCCCATTCATCACACCCCCCACCCTGTTTTAGAGTTTCTAGCCCCAATTTCTACGTGTAAGACACAGGGTCTCCCCCTCAGGAGTATAGAATTCTCAGAATGAAATGAATTCTAATGCCCTTACAATACCACAACCACACAATTATGGAGGGCGGAGAAGTGTAGAAAGGGAAGAGGAAGATGTCATCATTCCCAAAATATTAAGGATGATAATAATAGGCTGAATCTTATTATTAACTTGCTGGGGGGCGTGTTACTTTTGCCTCTCTAAATAGGTCGTGGATTCTTTGATGCCTGTGTCTGTCCCCGCGGTGTTTGCCACCACTAGTGAGGAATGGTGTGGGGCTGGAGATAGCTGGTGCTGGATTCGGTTACCCACTGCTTGCCAGAGAAAAGTTCACTGAACCAACTTGATTTTCAGCTTCATAACAAATAGGCCATCACAGCTTATTCTGCAGCACAGCCTGACCCTTCCTGTTAGGTCGAGTTATCCACCACCCGGCCCGAAAACTTCCTCTTGGCATTCATACCTCTTTTCTCACCCGGTGCTCAGGAAAAACACAACGCACTCCCCCGCTGGAATGCTCCTTTCTCTTTCATTTACTTATCAACTATTTTATTTCATTCTTGTGTGCACAGCATTTCATTAGTCACCTGTGGCTACAGCTGGCACAGGGTAAGGGTGCCCTGTGTTTTTTCCGGGATGGGTGTGTCCTCTATTGTGTCTGGGCCTGGTCTTTATTAATGGTGTTACTGGGATATAACTCACATATCACACGATTTGCCTATTTACAAATGTTAAGTATATTCACCGATATGAGCAACAATCACCACAGTCTGATTCAGAATATTTTCATCACCTCAAAAGGAAATCCCGTACACTGTAGTGACCACGCCCTGCCCCTCACCACTGCCCTGCCTATCCTCAAGCAATCATTAATCTCCTTTCTCTGCAGCTCTCCCTTTCACGGACATTCACCGTAAGTGGAATGATGCAATGCGGGCTCTTGCGCACCTGACTTCTTTCGCTCAGCATGCTGGCTTCAAGGTCATCCAGGTTGCAGCGGGTGTCAGCACTTCACTCGTTTTAATGGCTGAATAATATTATTCCACTATGTAAATACGCCACATTCTATTTAGCACTTGTTAGTTGGTGAAAACATGGTCACACCACTGCACACACAGGTTTCATGCAGAAGTCCATTCTCGTTTCTCTTGGGTGTATGTCCAGGTGGGAGGTTGCTGGGTGCCATGGCCATTGCTTGAGAAACTGGCCGACTATTCACCAAAGTGGCCGCACCGTTGTGCATCCCAGAGGGAAGTGAATGAGGGGCCCGACTTCTCCACACCCTGGCCAGCAGCCCCTGTCACCTGGCTTTTCGATCTCAGCCGTTCTAGTCAGTAGAAAATGGCATCTCGTTGTGGTTTCGGTTTGCCATTCCCTAGTAGCTCATGATCCTGAGCACCTCTTCATGTGCTCATTGCCATTTTTGTATCTTCCTTGGAGAAATGTCCCTTCGGATCCTTTGCCCAGTTTTTATATTGGATTCTTTGTCTTTTTACAATCAAGTTGAAGCAGGTGCTTGTTCTTTTAGGGCAGCTGACATTTAAAGCATCATGCCCTTCGGAGTTTCTCACATGCCGATCGCGAGCCCGCACAGTATAATTAGATTCCCAGATGCCTTTCCATCACTTGCAAGGAGTGTCACAACCCAAAGTGGTCACATGAGTGACGTCATGCTCACCAGGAGCTGATGCCATCGAGTTTTCCAGAGGGCGATGGGCAGCGGGACCCAGAGGACAGAGCCACATCTCAGGCAGCCACAGTGTCTGGACTGGACCCACCCACCAGGCACCCAGCCTCAGGTAAGAACATAGAGTGAGGGGAGCAGTCCCCGGAGACTGACTGGCCCCTAGAAGATCTCAGGGATGGAAGTTTCTGAGAGGGGAACGAGACAGCTAGTGAGCCAGGGCAGGTGGAATAGGGAAACTGAGGCAGACACTTACATGGCCAAGCAGTAAACCGCAAAATCCTACCCTCCCTAACCAGGGACACTTAAGAGTAAGTGAACTTTTCCTCCCCGGCCAGAGGGTAAACAGCTTATACCACCTTCTCAGGGAGATAGATAGCAGGAGTCCAGTGAGGGTCATTTGTGTCAACCACACTCAAGGACAAGATGAAGTCAGGGGAATAAGTTTCATTTTGGATCGTCACTATAAAGTTGGTGAATATCCCATTGAGACCCTCCCCTAAGACCTCCCCTACACCCTCAGCCTTTAAAACCCTCAAGGTGAAAGACCCAGAATGAGCTCTTCCTCCCCGGAGCACACCCAAGCCTTCCTTCCCTCTCAGGTGTGCACCATCCGAATCACAGGTGGCAAACACAAGGCCCGCGGCTGAGTCCAGCCTCTCACCTTGTTTTATCCCGCCCAGCACCTTGTTTCTTCCCAGCGGCAGTGCTGAGCTCTTTGCCTCTAGTTAAGATGTAGTTACACATATGTAGCCCTAAAATTACATTCGGCCCTTTGAAGGCAACTGTGAGGCTGATGTGGCCCCCTGTGAAAATGAGTTTGACACTCCTGTCCTAAATGCTAGGGGTCCCCGAGGGACTTGCAGCCAGGGGAGCAGTGGGCAGCGGCAACTTCTCCTGGGCTAACCCTCCGAACCTGTCTCCAGGCCCCCTTTTCTCGGACTGGCCAGTGAGCTGGCAGCAGCCCCGCCTTGGCTCTCTCCTGTTGCTTTTCCCATCCTAGTCCCTTCCCTGTTCCACTGTCCCCAGCTTTCATAAATGTACTCTCAAAATTAAAACAAAATTGTAAAGGGACATGCTGAATCTTAGCAGCATCTGCAATCACTTATTCATGCAACTAACAGCTGATATTTTATCAGTGGTGAGCTATGAGAACCATTCGTAAGGCAAAGTACTGACTTCATTTATTGCCTCTGTAAATGCACATTTTCTTACTTGAAGAGACCACCTGCGTGAGCATTACTCTTCAGCATTCTTCAGGCTGAAGATCACCCACTCCCTTTCCTCCTACTTCGTTACCCCTCCCCCTGCTCCCTGCAGGGTCTTCTCCTGCAAACCGGCAACTTGCAGGAAGCAGGGGGTTGCGGTGTGGATGCCGTGGTCTGTTGCAGGGCCTCACCAGTAGGGGCGCAGGAGGCCAGCTTTTCGAAGCTTCCCCAAGCCCTCTTCCTAGGGAGAGCATCGTGCTTAAACCCGGTCCCCTCCCTCCTCTGAACCATGGACGCCACTTCCTTTTCTGATATGGGAGAATTCTTAAGCTGGAGTAAATGCTGTTCTCTCTGGATTCCCCCCTGCCACACACACACACACACACACACACACACACACACGTATGCGCCTTGCCCACTCCCGTCTCGACCTCAGCTTATTTTCTCTCCTGAGCTGTTCTTCTGTGAAGCCTTCTTTAAATCCTCTGAGCAGCTAGCCCTTTGTAGCCTTGAACTCCCAGTGCACTTTCAGGGGACCGTAATTAACTGCGTTTTGAGTTGTCTGCCTGTGTATCCGTTTGTGCAACAGACATCTGGCAGACGTGCCCTGAACACAGGTGCTGTGCTCGGACGAGGAGAGGGGTCACCTGTGAGCATGACAGACAAAGTCCCCACCCCCAGGAAGCTCACGATCTAGCGGGGGTGGGGGGGCACGTGCAATAATAACCACCAGTGGCCCCGGAGTGGGAACTGCTACGAGTGAAGGAGGAGAGGAAGCAGCGCTGAGCAGAGCCCGAGAGGCAGCGAGAAGCTCCACGTTGCTCCCTCTGTTGCAGGAGGCGCCAGCTGGCTCAGCCGAGAGGGAGAGAGCTCCTGGCAGAAGAAAGGGTACACGTAAGCCTTGAGTCAGGATGGAGCTTGGCAAGTGTGCCGTTCACAAAGGAGACCAGTGGGACAAAAGCTGAGGGAGGGGCAGGGGAACAGGGGAGGAAGAACCAGTTCATGCTCCCGAGGGCCAAAGGCCGGAGCTTGGAGTAACTGCCAAGTGCAGTGTTCAGCAGGAAATGGCCATGACCCGGTAGAAGGCATGGATTTCTCCATCTCTTGTACTAACCTGCATGTGCAGAAGTGGGACTTCTTAACACCGAAACCTACTTGACAAATAACTTTTGGTTCCTTCTGATGGAGAACTCCGTCTGGCCACAACTCAGCCTCTCCAGTTTGCCGTCTCTTTCAGGAACCTGCTTGGTGAACTTGGGGTTCTCTGTGACCTTGCTCGCTCCCCCTTCCTCCCTGGGAGGGCTCCCACACTGTCCTGCGGTGGGGGAGGCCCTTTGTTGTCCTGAGCCTTCCTGGTTTTGCTGGCCTGCAGGGAGGCATGCTGTACCCCAAGGCCACTCACATTCAACCAACTTTGGTGGTCTTTGTCCCAATCAGAAGAGCCCCATTCACAACCCCTGGGCCCCAAGCTATTTTGGCCATTCCCTGCTGCTCCACCCCCCTGTGAAGCCCTGAACATCCCAGCTGAGCCGCCCACCTCCTCAGGTGCGGCCCCATAGGCTCAGACACATCTGTGGGCTTTCCCTTTGGGGTGGGCCCTGGCTCCAGGGGTTTCTGCGTGGTGCCCACCCTGAAGGCAGACACCACAGTCCTGGGAAGTGGGACAGGCCCGGGGTATGCCCCTGGGGGGTTAAAGACAAGTTCCACTTGAGGAAAGTGAGGTCTCCTTCGTGCCGCCCGGGCCCCACCCTCTTGGTGCTCCCCCATATGCACCTCTCTCCCCCATTCTAGGGGGCTTGGCAGTGTCCTGCCCTCAGACAACGAAGTGGGCAGCCTGGAGGCACAGGTGTGAGTTAACTCAAACCAGCTACTCGGTGGGCCACGGGCGGGCGGGCCTCGCAAAGCGAGGGCGTCCTTGGCTCCCAGCACATGTATCTCAGCTCTGGGAGCTCCAGCCCAGCTCTCCACATCCGCCTCTGGACCGTCCATCTCAGCCTGGCAGCCAAGTATTTGCAGACTTTGTTCCTAGTGCGAAGCGCCTGACTCGGGGCCCAGGGGTTGGAGGGGAGGCGCCAGGGCACACGGGACTCGCAGGTGGTGCTGCAGAGCTGAGATGGAAATTTGCTGGCAAGGGCTTTGGAATCGGTTTCTAGAGCCTTCTGGACATTCTTAAACTTCCCAGTGCTCCCTCCAGCAGAGGGTGGAGGAAGTCCAGTCAGGAGGCTAGGGCTGATGGTGGCCTGGCCCGAGGGGGGCCTTGGAGACAAACGCAGAACACTCGGGTGATCTATTCTGTATGGGTGGACCCCATGATGTTGTGCGTGACTCTAAGCCAGGGGCCTCATCTCCATGTTTCAGGACCCTTGGGAACTAGGTTCTGCATGTTTGTGGAATTCACAAACACTCCTTCAGTCCATGAACCTTTCTCAGCCTCGCGGGGTCATCCTGATTATGCTCTTGTCCTGCCAAAGACTCGCCATTGTACATAAATTTTGATTAATGGCAACGACCAGCCAAAGAAAGCAGATGTCTTTTGTGAACACTCTCAAGATCTAGTTTATCTCCAGAATAGCCATCTCCTGAGGGAATGCCTCCAGGAAGGGACCTGTTTGCCAGTGATTAGGCAGTTAAGGAAGCTGTGTAATTAAAGGGGATGCACATTTGCTGTTCCTCTTGGAAAGGGTCTGGTTTCTCTCTGCAGCCTGAAGCCAGCACGCTCCAGCCTTCCTGTGTTTGGGAAAATGGGTGTCTGCTCGGCCTTGGCAGAGCCCCCGTGAGCTGTCTCCTTCTTGGACCTGAAAGGGAAGGTTTGCTGAAGGGATGCCAAGGTCAATGGGAGACACGCCCTGGTGCTTGTGTACCTCCTGCCGAGATTCCTTGCCTCTTTGGTGGCAGGTCTGCCCCTGCTTCGGGAACCACTGCCCCATCCGAGGGACAGGAAACCTCGGGGCAGTGATCTCTGTGTTATTAGTCCAACCCCCAGCCTTTTCTTATACCTGTGACCGAACCCTGTAGCATACTCTTGGGACACAGAAAACCGTTGTCAGAATGCTCAGTAGGGCGATGTCACAAACCCTAGAACTGTGTGGAGCAAAGTGCAGCGTTCAAGGTGGACAGTCAAGTTTGCAGCAAAGGGGCAGTTAGAACAGCTGGTTTGCAGGGACCATTTTCCGGTGTAGCAGCCTGTGACCGCAGGCATGTTTCCTTACCTAAAAGGAAGACGATTCTTCCATGAGAGTGTCCGAGGGCCCGGAGCAGGGAAGAGTGGCTTTTGCTTGCTTCGAAACTGTAGCCATGGCTGGCAGGACCTATTTAAAAGGACCACCGGGAAAATGTTTTCTAGGGTCAAGGGTCTCCTCACCCATCTGGGGCTTTATAACAATATAATGAAGACTGTGAGGTGGCTTACGGATGAAGGTCAGAGAGGTGACGTCTTGGAAAGTAGGTGCAGAAGCGTCTAGACCTGGGGTTCCTAAACCTTCTAATCTTGGGATTGCTTCTTGCTCTTAAAACTTATTGAGATCCCAGAGCGGTTTCTCTTTTTTTCCCTTTCAATGTGAGTTCTATCTATTGGCATTTACCATATTCAAAATTGAAACTGAGGAGTTGACAAGACACAGTGACGCTGAGACCCTCATGCCATTAACTGAGAGCAACAATGTCCTCACACTGCAGGCAGAATCTGGAAAATGCCATGGTGGACTTGGGAGAGGGTGGGAGAGGCAGAACGTGCTTTAGCAACCTCATCCTTGTGAAAAGCGCTTTGACCCCCTACACACCTTGAAAGGCTATCAGGGCCCTTGAGGGTTCCTCAGACCACACTTTGAGAACTGCTGATATCCAGACCTGCAAATGGCTCCTGGGTCCCTGCTGGACACCACTGGAGACCTGGATGCTGCCCACAGGGGACTCTCAGTTGGTGCTGTTTAGTTTAAAACCTACAGCCCCAGGAAAGGGATTGAAACTCCGTCCCCCGGAGCAGCAGGAGAGCAACAGAGTTGGATGTCTGCTAATCCATCTGCTTCTTAGCTGCATCCATCGGGTGGTCTGGTCACTGATACTTAGAAACTGTGACCACACCTATATGCCGTTTTTGAGCACTTAAATCGGGTCAGGGGCTCACTGTGGGTTCATGGCAGTGCTTTACAGCTATTCCTTATTGTCCATATTTCACAGATTAGGAAATTAAAGTTGAAGGAGGTTAAGTAAGTCATCCAGATGGCCCAGGCAAAATGTTGGAAAGTGGGGCTTTCAAACCCAGGATGCCTTTTTTTGGAAGTCTAGGTGCTGAACCACAAAACGTCAGCGCATCATATAAACACTTCTGTCATTCACAGGCCGATGGGGAAGAGCCCACACGTCCGGATCCATCAGGAAAGGTTCACACACCTAGATTTGTGTCCCGGGTCCATCTCTCTTGCCAGGCTGACTTGCCATCCAATGGGTGAGTGTTGTTACATGCTTGGTGCTGTACTAGATCCTGTGGGGGACGTAAAAAATAATATTACGTGGCACAAAACACCTATAAAATGCACCCTCTCTCTTCGAGTTTACCAAAATAATCTCACAAAAATGGAAGGTTAGCTAACGATACGAGTCAGTTAGAACACAGCAAATCCTTGGCATCAGAGCGGGAGGCCACTGGAGCGAGAGGGATTTGTGGAGAGGGAGCGATTCGTGCTGGGCTTCAAGGAGAGACAGTCTGTTTACAGGAAAAAAGAAGGGAATTGGATGCGAAAACTCGACTTCAGCTGGAGTCCCAGTTCCATCATCAATCAGATGTGTGAACTCGAGCCCGCCGCAGAGCCGCAGGGTTTGGGAGCGGCCGCAGTGCGGGCACTGCCAGGCGCGGGGGCCAGGTCCAGCTCACCGGGGGCACCGCCGGGCAGCTAGCTGGTGGTCCCTTTCCTCGAGCACGTCCCCCACAACCCCCATGCCCGTGCCCGGAGACCTCCGCCCCCGCGTGGCAGGCCCCACCCCTGGAGCTGGCCTCAGCCAGCAGCACTACTCGAAGTCTCACACTTTTTCAAGTTTCTGGCAGGCTCACACTTTTCTTAGAGTTTCCCAACTGAGTCATTTGCCCTGAACCTCCTTGGAGATCTTGCAGCCCTCTCCAGCTCCGGGCCCCCCACTTCCTGTTCTGCAGCGCTAAGCAAGTTGCTTTAACCTCTTGTGAACCTCAATTTGCTCACGTGTAAAACTGAGGTTGATAATGCCTTCCAGGGCTGCTGGGAAAGTTAATGATTGTCAGCCTCCCCGTACAGTACAATACTCGGCACATGGTAGGTACATGACAAATGAGAAAGACTATTGATTAATTTATTACCAGTCTCTGGCAGACTGTACCTACGACATAGTTGCAAGCAGTACCAGTTATGAAATGTCATATTGGATTAATTTGTGTCTTTGTTTCAAATTTCAAATCCTAACGAAACTGGGTCATCTTGGAAAGATAAAAAAGAAATAGAGCAAAAAATACTGCCACTTGAGTCGAACCTCCCCCCCGGGCGGGGGTGGGGGCAGGAAAGAGAAGACTGAGTGTGTAAAATTTATGAGGTCCTCCGTCAGCACTTTCTGCTTTCACTAAATAACCACAGGTCCCTGTGTATACATTTCCCCGGTTTTTATAACTTTTCGATACTAGAGAACACTCCTTACGAGGACTAGTAATATCTAGCATGTAATCCTTTACTCAGGGACAGAAGTTGTTTGTTCAGAGAGGACTGGTTTTTGACTCCAGGACCACACCCCTCGAACTCGAGTTCCTGCCCTGCTCTTTTCCAGAAACTAAAGGAAGGAGAGCAGGGGGAGGTTGGGGGGAGGGAAGTGCTCTCTGAGAAAGGGCAGTGCCTCACTTTGACAGGCTCATAATCACTGTTGGCTGCCTTCAAGTTTTTCCTAATGTGGGTTGGGAATCTCAAGCTAAAAGGAATGTAGTTTGCAGTTTTTAAGAAGTTCTTGAAGAGAAATAAAGGGTTTTCGTTTTCATTGGAATATGGGTGTCAAAGCCCTGTGTATACAGACAGCGAGTGTTAGGGTGTCGGTGACACGGGTTGTGGAGAAGTCACAAAGAGGGGAGAGCAGGGTGTAAAGTCTTTATTTTGCTTTCCCAGGAGAGGTAGAGGGCTAGGTGGGGAGATTCCAACCGGCACCAAGGGGTGGGGGCTTTGAGCTTTGATCGGATTATCACTGAATGTTCAAAGGGTGAGGGAGGCTGTTGGGGGGTGGGTTGCCACGCAGGGGGTGGTTTTGCATAAGCTACAGTTTGCTCCAATGTAATCTTTCGCCTGCGGCTGCGGGGGCATGTAATCTCGGTCCATTCTTGCTTCCAGTAACTTCCAGTCCCGAGGACATAAGCTCCGAAGAGTCAAATGTCAGTGATGTTTAATAGGGCCACAGTCCTGCTGGGCAAACGGTGCCACGATAGCAAATGGTGCTGGCTTTGTCCTTTCAAACCTGACGGGCCCAGTGATGAGTTGGGGGAGAGGTTTTTGGTGGTTATTTCAATATTGATAGTACTGAAATATTATTGGTAGAGCTTGTTAATTTATTTTTCAGTAACAGTTGACGGTCAATATTATTTTACCTTGGTTTTAGGTACATTTTATACTTTTCATGCCACAGTGACATTATCCCATTTAGATTTCCTAACTACCGTTTGAAGGAGCTTTTCACTTAGGATGCCGGAAGCTGAAATAAGAGATGACCCAATTCGGAGTTAATAAAGGGAAGTCGGAAGGTTTTTTTTTTAGCTCACATGAAAAGAAGTCTAGAGAAAGGATTTTCTCTGTCATCTGCGTTGTCAAATTGTTCCTTAAGCCTGGTAGCAAAGCCACTGGTGGTCACTGGGCCCTCTGGGCTGTGTCGTTCGTACCTGGGCCAGCTTTGCACGGCAGCGTTTTCCTCAGGGCAAGGATGCTGACTTCCCAGGAGCCTGCAGTAAGGCCTCACTGGCACAGACTGGCTTGGGTGTGCTCGTTTCTGAACTGATATGGCCCAGGGATAGACGGACATCTTCGACAGGCTTAGACCAACCCGCCAGGCTGTGTAAGGCATGGAGCCCTCCACCACATCGTCCTCCGTACGTGTCCATTTTCTGGATCAAGGGTCAGCGAGCCACAGCCTGTTCGCCAAGTCTGGCTGGGTTTTCACGAATAAAGTTTGCTGGAATACAGCTGCGCTGTTTTGCTCATGTATATTTACAGCTGCCTCCCTGCTACAATAGCAGAGTTGAATAGTTATGATGGCGTCTGTGTGGTCTGCAAAGTTAGAATACTTACTCCCTGGCCCTTAATAGCAAGTTGGTTGGCCCTTATTGTAGAAGAAAGTGTGGTTGAGGTTCAATGGCATCTCCCGTGTGCTAGAACTAAAAAGAGGCAGAGACTAGCGTCTAACTCAGATGCCCAAAGCTGTCTGCTACCAGCTCAGCGTGGAGGACGTCGGGGGACAGGCTTGCATGTTGTGTGACGTGTGCCAATGCAGCTTGATGCCCGGCAACACTGACACCTGCCTTCCAAAGGAAGTCTGCCTGTGATGACAGACGTGCTTCTTGGGAACAAAGAGTTCAGGGGCTACTGTGGGTAGAGAAATAGGCTAGGGCATGAGAAAGCTACAAGGATATTCCACAATTCACAAGAGTAAGTTTGACACGCCATTTTCAAAGTTAGACAAATATCAACTGGAATAGAATTTAAATTTTTCAATGACCAGTGGGATGAAATTAAAGATTTTTCACAGCCATAAGTTTCCATAGAGTGAATGCTGATTCACGTCCCTTTGATGAGCTCCGCTCACAGAAAGTGCGTTTATAAAATGAAGGAAAAAACAGTGAAATGAAATAGTGTTTACAAAAAAAGGAATACCGAGAATACATGTTATTCCTTTACTATGCCTCTGATTCCCACTCCCGCCCTCCGCTCTGACCTCATGTGGGACCCGTCTCCAAGACGGCCCCAGTCGCCCTCAGCTGCTGCAGTTCGAGCTCTTGCGGGGTTTCCCTCCACCTTACATAAGGTTGGTCTGTGTGACTGACTGAATATCGCTGGCGCGGTGGCGTGCGACTCTGAAGCTCTGTCGTGGAAGGTTTGGTGATTCTACCTTGGTTTCCCGAATCCCTCACTTGGGGGAAAGGCAGTCGCCGTGTTGTGAGGAGACCCACGCAGCCCTAGGGAGTAGACCCCACGGAGCAGAACCGAGACCTCCCACGGCCAGCTGCACCAGCTCGCTGGCCACGTGAGCGAGCGGGCACCTTGCAAGCGGATCCAGCCCCAGTGACTCCTTCAGAGGATGGGCACCTGGGCTCACACCTGACTACAACCTTGGGTGACACCCTGGGCCGGAACTGCCCTGCCGATCTACAGAATGGGTGGGAGATGACGCTCGCTTATTGCTGTTTTAAGTCACCAAGTTCTGGGGTAATTGGTGAAGCTGCAATAGATAATTAACACACATTTCCCCATATTAGGTCAAAAGAGCAGCGGCAGAGTAGACAGGCAGGTCGGAGTGAAGGGTTAGCAGCAGAACAAAGGTCAGAGAAGTAGGCACACAAGAAATCGAATGAAGTGACAAGAGGAAAAACCAAAGTCTGTCCAGATCTTTCAGAGAAGTACAAGTTCATTATTCTGATAACAGTAACAACAGGCAGCTTTTATTGAGCACTTACTGTGTGCCAAGCACTGCGGTAGTATCTGTAAGTATACTTTCTTTAAGGAACCCTGGGCTCTGATTGTGTGGTTTAGAAAACACGCACCTTAAAATAAGGAAAGAGGGAGAGGAGAGAAGGGTGGAATGGGATTTTTAAAAAGCTAGAGTATTGAAAATGGGCTACACAAAAAATATATATTTATACGGAATTTAAAAAACTTGGCAAGGGAAGAGCAAAATGCTGAACAGACCCGTGTGTGTCCTATAAAAACAACACTTATTCATTTCCAATTTCATCTGGTCTTTCCCTGTCATTTGGTAACTATCTGTTCTGGACTCTGAGCTGTCTCTGTGCCAGGCACTGGGAACCAGCCCTGAGCAGAAACAGTCCCAGAGCTTGTGTTCTAGGTGGTTCATTTTCAGTGGATGGCATTGCCAGGTAGTGGTCCTCCCACCAGAAACCCACGGGTGGCCCTAATTCCTCTACTATGAGCCCAGGATTCTGATGGGCACTTCTTGCTAACCTCCACGGCTCCGCTGCCTCACCTGGTCCATCAGCTTCCTGGGGCCGCTGTGACAACGTGCCAGAACCCAGGTCACTCAGAGTGACTGAAACTTTCGATCTCACAGTTGCAGAGGCCAGCAGTCCGACAGCAAGGCATGGCGGGGCCGTGCTACTCTGGACGCTGCGGGGAGGGCCTGACCCAGGCTCTCTCTTTAGGTTCCGGTGCCTCCTTGGTGGGGGCACCACTGCCCCAATCTTCACGTGCCGTTCTATCTTTCTGAGTGTTTGCCATGCCTCAGGATGTTCTTTTTATGAGGTGTGAACAGAGAAACCACAGGCCCAAAACGGAGTCACGCAGGCAAAGCCACGCGTCGCTGAACTGAGACTTAATACTTAACCATTACAGTTCTCGCCTCTCCCGGGAATGGGATCTCAAACCAGTCAATCTGGAGTTACCTGGTCAGCACTAGTGACAGACCCCTGACTCCCTAAGGGAGGTTGACCTTGTTGCAACTGGCCCAGTGTCGACCAGCATGGCTGCCCGGTCCCACTCACTCTTGCCCGGGAAATCCTTTCATTTTGTACAGCTCCTGGGAGTTCTTTGTATATCCCAGATGGGATGCTGGCTGATTTGGGGACTGTTGAATAAAGCCAGTTAGAACTTTCAAATGTGCTCAGTTGAATTTTGTTTTGTAACAAAAGACACCTGTCGTATCGCATTAGGGGCCCGCCCTGCTCGGAAATGACCTCATCCTAACCGTTACAACCACATCAGCTCCTTTTACAAACACGGTCACGTTCCGAGTTGCTGGGGGTTGGGACTTGAACATCTGTTGAAGGGGACACAACTCAGCCCGTAATATCTGGGTTGCGTGTCACAGTCTCTCAACCAGCTTCCCTGTCTCCTCTGTCCTTCAGAGGGTGGCCAGTGTGATGTGCCTAAAATGACAATCAGATCTTGTGGCTACTCAACCAGACATCCTCAGAGTTTCCCTTCTTGTAAGCGAAGCACAAAGGTTCTCAAAACCCGCCTGTCCCTCCCTCTCTGGCTCCATCGGCTCCAATGACCTCCTTTGGGAACCCTTCTGATTCCTCTGGATTGAGTGAGATGCAGAGGGAATTCTGTCTCCTGCAGGCCCCCGTAGGTGCGTAACTGTTGGGTTGGCCAAAAAGTTTGTTTACTTTCTTCTGTACGATGGTTCTAGTAGCACTTAGTTGTCCTGACCTTTGTTCAAAACAATTTGGTTAGATTTTATTGGGACAGCTGTCCTATCAGCATGCATTTAAGAAACACCTATTAAAACTGGTGAGTTTTTGTGCAGCCATTTTAATCTTGAAGATGGGAGAAAATACACAGCACTTTTGGCATATTATGCTTTATTATTTCAAGAAAGGTAAAAAGACAGCTGAAACACACAAAAAAGACTTGTGTCGTGGATGGAGAAGGCACTGTGACTGACTCAATGTGTCAAAAGTGGTTTGCGAAGTTTCTTGGTACTGTTGACATTTTGGCCAAATAATCCTTGGCCGTGGGATGTCTTATGTGCTGGAAGATGTTTAGCAGCGTCCCTGGCCTCTCCACCCACCTGAAGCCAATTGCGGGAGAGAGCTGACATACTCAAAATATCCACGCGGATAAAGTTACTGGTGAAAGCGAAAATTGTGTGTTTTACTTTATGGAAAAACTAAACAGACTTTTGGGCCAACCCAATACCTACCTTCTTATCACCCAGAGTATGAAATTGTTTATTTACTCATCTCTCTTCTTAAATCTGTGAGTCCCGTGAGGCAGGACTATGCCTTCTTTGTACCCTTGTGCCAAGTATGGTATTAATTAAAACATAAGTACTCAGTCTGTTTGCAGAATTCACATCACTGACTTCTCTTGGAATTACGCCCTTGGTAGAGAAGGGAGAGACAGTGGTTCAACGAGTCTCCGCATTCCTGTCCCTGGCTTGGGAGAGAACTCTGTCCGAGGGCTCCTGAGGATCCGGATCCAGGGGTTTGTCCGAGGTCTAGAGCTTGCTGACGCACCTCGGAGAGGACGTTACAGACCAAGGACTCCGTGTGGCCCGGATCTGGAGCCAGAAAATGGTTTGTTTTAAAGGGCGCCGTCTGTTTTCTGTCTTCTCACTCACAGGAGCTTGTCTTGCTCCCTAGCAGAACTTAAGTCATGGGAGACTCTAGTTGATCTGAGGCCTTTTCATTTTGACCACAACCTAAAAGCAGTCATCTTGCTGGAGCTGCCCAGGACCCAGCAGCCACCGTGCATGTCCATGTGCTCCCTGCACCCGAGCCCCACACAGCTCTCCCACCGGAGACCTTTCTCTTCCAGCTTGTCCCCTGGAAGCCCCCTGGTTCGTTTTGTATGCCTCTGCCCCTTTTCTGGCTTATTTCCCACAAATCTGTTGCTCCCAAGGTTGGCAAATTGCTTTTCCTAAGAATGGTCACGCCTTGGTATTTTTCCCGATCCACATTATCTTCTTACATTCCCACTGAGAGCTGGGGCCCAGGGGTCCTCCCCTTGAATCTGGGCAGGGGCTGGTGACTACCCTGCTAGAGACACCAAGACCTGAGTTGTGCGGCTTCCAGGCTGAGTGCATCTCTCTCCTCGTCTCTCTCTTTCCTTCCCTGCTTATCTTGGAGCCCCGCCACCACGTCGGAAGGCGGTTGGGCCACATGGCGAGGCCACACACGCAGGCATTCCAGCTACGGTCTCAGCTGACAGCCAACGCTGGCCCGTCAGACGTGGGAGTGAGTGAGCGCCCAGATGGCTCCAGCCCAGGACCCTCGAATCCTCCAGCTGAGGGTCACAAGTCATGGAGCAGAAAGGAGCCATCCCTGCTGGGCCCCATCTGCACTTCTGACCCACAGGAACTCGGAGAGTTAATAAATGATGACTGTTACTTTAAGTCACTAAATCTGAGCATAAGTTATGACACTCCAATAGATGGCTAAT